CAGTGGCGGTTCTAGCGTATGGGCAGGGTGGGCAGCTGCCCATACCAAAATTTCTGGTGCCCATTATTTAAAAAATGTTATTTTTATACAAAAATAAGATATTTCATTATTTGATAAATTATAATGATAGTTTACAATTATATTATAATCATTACATTGATGACGAACTTACTAATATATTATCTATGTGATAATGTCGCTGCTAGAGCTTGCAGCTGTTTTAGCGTTGATAGTACTATCTTAGTTCATAATTGGCGGGAGAGAACGACACCAGACGTTCGGAACGGTAGCTATCTTCATAAAAGCATAACGTGATAACAAATTATTACATATTGTGTAGATATAATATGACTATTGTATTGTTTTTTTCTCATTGTGCATTTTCGTTGTTTCTATTAATTTAATATAATGAAGAGATTTTTAAATAATTTTTCCAAACATAAGGCCGAAAAAACAATTGAAGGAGACAAACCAAAATCTCCATCAATCCATACAAATGAATCTACAGCTAGTGAAAACACCAGTGTAAATAGTAGTATTGCTTTTAACCCAGAACCGACCAGACAATTGGTAAAACCTTTAAAAATATTAGACTTAAGTTTAAACTATGATCAACCTCCTGTACAACCAAATATTGTTTATCCTTACAAATCCATAAGTAAAAGTAAACGGTCCTTTAATAGTACTTGGTATAAACAGAATCCATGGATTGAGTACTCAATAAAATTTGATCAAATTTTTTGTTATTATTGTAGACATTCTTTAACACCAAGTCAACATTGTAATCCTAATGCTGGTAATCTAACAATTCATGGTTATTCAGACTGGAAACATATAGGCAGTATGGCTAAAGTACATGATAAATGTGACACACACAAATTAGCATTGGCTAAATATAAAGGGTGGTGTAATTCTAAAATACAAGGCAGTGTTACAACTATGATTGACTCACAAATAAGAGTTGAAGTTGCAAAAAATAGGACAATGTTAAAAAGTTTAATAAGGTGTGCCATATATTGTGCTAGGCAAGATATTGGTTTGCGAGGACATTCTGAAACAACTGAAATCTCTGAAATTGTGAATAATGATATTGCAACAGAAAACAAAGGAAATTTTGTAGAGCTTGTAAAGCTATTATGTATTGAAAGTCAAACATATTGTTCAGCTTATGAAGCGTTACCAAAGAATGCAAAATACACTAGTAAAATAATTCAGAATGATATGATAAGTGCAGCTTCAACAGTGATTGCTCAGTCTATTTTAAAAGAAGTACAAGAAGGTAGTAAAATATTCAGCTTAATTGTTGACGAAGCTAGAGACGATGCAAAGTTAGAGCAAATGAGTATTTGTATTCGGTATGTACATAATTCAGTGGTAAAGGAAAGGTTTTTAGGATTTGTTGAACTCAAAGAATTAAATGCTAATGCCCTAAGCTGTAATATTAAATTATTTTTGAATAATTTTGGACTAGATTTGAGTAACTGTGTAAGTCAGTCTTATGATGGAGCATCAGTTATGTCTGGTCAGTTCAACGGAGTTCAAAAAAAAATTAAAGATATGTCAGGAAATTTGTGTCCATATATACATTGCCATGCACATAAATTGAATTTAGTTTTAGTTGACGTTTCAAGAAAGGTAGAAGAAGTACATGATACTATAGGTCTCTTGGAAGCAGTTTATGCATTTCAGTCATCATCAACACTAAGGTATCAAGTATTTTTTGATAAAACTGGGTCGAAAGTCCCCATGCACTGTGACACACGTTGGGTATCAAAATTTAAAAGTATTCGTTACTTTAAAAACAACTTTACATTAGTATTAACAGCATTAAAAGAGTGCACTGAAAGTTCAAAATATAAGGAAGCTGCTGAAGCTAAGGGTTTACTAATTCAAATGAATTCTTTAAAAACTATTGTGTTACTTTTTTGTTTGGATTATATTTTATCTTTAGTAAATATTCTATCATTAAACTTACAGACAACAACACTTGACTATAGCCGTTGTGCAAAATTGATCAAATCCACTATGGAACAATTGATCAATTTAAGGTCAGAAAAAATATTCATCAATATTTACAATGAAGCAGTAAGTGTATTTCAGACTTCGAATATTGAACCTAACGATACACTAAGTCCAACAAGAGAACTAAGAATTTCATCAACACTGGATAACTATTTAACTTATTCAACACTTGGTGCTAGTACTAGTAGAAAAGAAAAACAAAACATGTCCTCTAAAGATACAGAAAATGAATTTAAAAGAGTCTTTTTCCAGATTTTAGATAATATGAATAATGAAATGATTTATAGATTTACCCAAAACAATGAAATATTGAATTATATCCATGCAAGTGACCCCAAATCAAGTGAATTTCTAAATTCAGATTTGTTAGTTAAATTAGGTAATATGTATCAACCATATACAACTAATGACTTTATAGAAGTATTGAAGAACCAGTGTCTGATTGGAAAATCTTTATTTTTGGATAATTTAACATTATCTGACCTACATCAACAAATAAGCAACTACGGTGAGACTTTTGACCATGTAAAAAAAATAATTGAATTGGTTATGGCCATTCCTGTGTCTTCAGCTAGTGCAGAACGCAGTTTTTCCACCATGCGCCGTGTTAAGACATATTTAAGATCGACTATGAAGAGTTCACGATTAAGTAGCCTTACACTTTTATCAATTGATTTTGAAAAATCAGATAAATTATTAAAAGATCCAACTGCTGTCCTTGAAGTGTTTGCAAGCATGAAAAACAGAAGAATACAATTTCAAATTTAGCTTACTATTTTTCTTAAAATAAGTTTGAACAGTCTGAACTTTTTTGACAGTTAAATTTAAATAAACATAACTATACATAAATATTTCAAAACTATGGATTACTCTATTATTTTTATATTTAAAACCTTTATTACCTATCTATTATAATTAATATGAATATTTTAAGCTATACACTATAATAATAATACTATAATTTTATTAAAAAAA